AATAAGGGCTTCTGATAAGACTCAGCATTGTCATTTAGGTAGCTCATGTCAGTCCAGGCAGCTTCCTGAAGCGCTCTGAGCGCAAACCCTGAAGGAGATCAGCTCAGAATGACAGCCACAAATGTCCCAGACCCAGAAGATGTCAAGTGGTGAGGTTCAGTGAAGTTGGTAGCAATACTAGTCAACAGGAGATTAAATATCCTTCCTGAAGGCATTGTGAAATGTGGTAATAATGGGAGTTCTCCTTCAAGCCTTCCTTCTCTGCTTTTGAGTCCTCAAAAACAGACTGACGTAATTATTTGGTGCCATTTAAGACTTGAGAAGGACAACCTGATACACGAGAATGACTTCTGCCTTTGATACATACAGAGTTAAAGAAACAAAACAGGATAGGCAACAAGTTCTAGTACTTCAAGTAGCTCAGCGAAGCCATGCTAACCAAATTAAAAGACCTTGCTCATTCTAAAAAAGCAACACAGAATTCCGTCACCAAATGCAGCACTGGGAAGTGGCAGTAACCTCTAGCAGGAAGGACTGAGCAAAGATCTCACTAGAGAGGTGAAGTTCCAGTCCCATATACAACCTAGATTGTAACAGAAAAGGATCACAGTTATCGAATTTAACTTCTAGGGAACAGATTATAAACAGTATTACATACTCTGGATTGTGCTGTTGTTTTTGTTGTTTTGTTTGTTTCTTAGTATTAGTTGAAGATTCATGCTGGGAAAATTAGTAGTAATATTGGCACTTAGATTCTTCAAAGTGTTTTTGATACATTCTAATATTAGACTATTTGGTCATGGTGTAGAAATTTCAGTGATGGAGCTAGAAACTTTCAAGTAGATTTTCTTTGAGTAAATATTTTCATTTGATTGCAACAAAATAAATTTATCAGCATTATATTTGCATTTTTATCCCTCTAAGCATGTGTTTCCCCACACTGGCATCTTTAGTTATAATTTTTCTTTAGCAAAACATCTTTCACCACTGTCCTAAATGAAAGGAAATTCAAGATGATGAAAAAAAAAAAAAAGATAGATCCTGATGGATGGCATAGTAACAATTAATCACAGTATCATGATTATAATTTTATAAGCATTTTATCCATTTCAAGCATTTATTGTTCTTAAAACTTCATGGGATAGGGGGCTGGGGATTTAGCTCAGCGGCATAAGCGCCTGCCTTGCAAGCAGGCAGTCGTGAGTTCAATCCCCGGTACCAATAAAAAGGAAAAAGACAAAAAAAAAAAAAAAAAAAAAAACTTCATGGGATAGGTTTTAATAACTTTCATTGTAAATAAACAAAATTTAAAGACTTTATTTTACCATCTATTAAAAGCTTTATTTTACCTTCTATTAAGTATGATTACAATGATTATGGCAAACAGTGATGTTATTGGACACCTGAATTCCCAGGGGTCCCTTCCACCCTCTTCTTGTTATGTTAAAAGAATTGGAAAAGACAAATGAACACTTATTAATGGTAAAAAAGTAAGGAGAAAAGAAAGAAGTGCAAGAAAGAAGTGCTCTAAAAAGAAAGTACTCCAGGAGCAGGCATCATTGAAGTAGGAGAAGCATGCCCTGCGGGCTGTGCTGGTGAAAAGGCACACATCAGTCTGAGCTTAATGACCACTGTCTTTTATAAACTCACTCTGATGTCAGATCTAGGCTGTCCTGTCAAAAACTTGTTTGATCTTCTGCCAGAAGAATTAAAGATAACCTTCCCTGATTGGTATCAGGTGCAGGGCTCAGAAATTTTTCTGCATGTGTGTCCTAGCCATGATTGACATGCCTGTTTGCACAACTGGTTTGCCATACCCTAATCACCAGCCTCAGGAGGGCAGCTCCAGATGACAGTACAATTTGACTTGAGAGAAAGAATGTCCATAATTTTCTTGTGATTCATTAGTTCATTATTCTTTTAGTAACTATACGTTAAACACTCATGATGCTCAGTAAAATCTAGACTGGAACAGAAGAGCATCACCAGCACAGAATTTACTTCTGGAAGACACACTATAAACAAGGTTGTATAGTTTGGATTGTGTTTCTGTTATTGGGTTTTTGTTTTGTTTGTTATTTTTTGTTAGACACTGTTCCAAGTTAAAAACAGTAGCAAACAAGATAGGTGCTTTCCACCTTTTAATGAAGATTTGCCCATAGGTTACAGTTATGGGACCCAAACCTTCTGATGATTTCCAATTTATGTTCTTTCCAGAATCCTTACTCTAAATCCACATGCATGTGGTTGAATACTTTCAGTGGTAACTCAGGAATCCACTTTGACCTAGAGCAAATGAAAAAAAATTCTAAAGTGAAATCTCCAAAACATGCTTTTAATATAAGTAAAGTCATCAAGATGCTCATGACAAGAAAAATGCTCAGGATAAGTCCAATTGCCAAGAATGGGTTCTATTTTGTTTCCATACTTTTATAACCAAAGAAGTATGTGCTCAGTTGCATTTTGTTCTGCCTGGCTCTTATTATGGTCTCTCTTTAATATGGAAAGGTAGAGTACAAGAAAAAAAAAGTACTGTGACTCAAGCAATGTAAATAATGAAAAACTTTCATATATATATATATACACATAGATCAGAATAATAATTCTGGATATGTTCTCATACTAATTTCACTATAGCAATGTAATATGAGATAAATACGAGTGTAGATAGGAAGGAGAATAAAAGGAATCAAGGTGTGCTATTTACATATATCTACATATTTGTTTTGCAAATATGTACTGAGAAAATTTTAAAAATGACAATATCATCTTAAATACAGCTAAGGTTCACTTATGGGACTATTTCTGCTAAATAAGCATATAGAAAAAATATACTTTATTACCCTAATTACTCTGGGAATATCACACCTGGAGACAGATGCTTAGTTCAAGAACTTGGGTACATTAGCATAGCAGTTAGGTATTAATCATGAGCATCGAGTCCTTTCTGCTAATTAACCTTAATTGAGCTCTCTGTTACAGAAACACCGTTTCCAATGAAGCAACTTACTGATGATACCAAAATAACAGAGCGTGGTAAAACCCAGTATTAACATTACTTTCTACTCTTGAATATCAATGCCTAATAAACTTTGTCATCATAGAAAACGTTATATCATCTACCAAAGTTTAAAAATTATGTACAGCAAAAACTGATAAGCTATATATAAAACTTGCATAATAAAATTATTTAGGAAAGCATTTTTGATACAACATATGTGTCATTTCATATTTATTTAAAAAGCAAGTCAAATATATCATTTACAATATAAATATGATAAACTTTTAAAGATTCAAAAATTAAAACTTTATATTATCCACTAGTTAACATGCCTCTGAACGTAGTCAGGCTTGAAACCAAATCTCTTTCATTTATGTTCAGTATTATTTCTAACAGTATCACAGAATGTCCCCTAACACTGAATTCTGCTGAAATAGGTAGCTTCATTAATTTGCCTTGAGAAATGTAGTACAGTTAATTTTAAATTTGATAACCAGAAAGCACTTTACATATTCAATGGGTTATTTATTAAAAGACAAATCAAGAAGAAATAAGCTTTACTGCCTATGAACAGAATACTTGGGTTTTAAAATGGCCAGAAGGCTACCAGTATTAATAAGCTTTGTCAAATTCATTTTCAGACATGCATGGCAAAGTTGTACTGTTTTCCTATTCATGTCACAGTTTCTGTCAAGAGGAAGGCTCAGCTACCTTGGGGAAAGCTTCCTGAAGTGCTAGTTTGTGAAAATAAAGAGGCAAGGACAGATAGTTAGCATACTCACTAGGGACAGGAACTCCCTGAAGAATCTTGAGATAAGTTAAAACAGTGAAAACACTAGAGAAGTATTTAACCATCTATATAAACTTCAGAAAAAGTACAAAATGCAAACACTGGCGGCAGAAGTATTAGAAGCTCAGATTTAAGCCGGTATACATAAGGACTTACATAGTCTGAATGAGACAACCCAGGGCATGTGATAATGTACTCATTAAACCATTAATTGATGCTACATTTACAGAGCCAGAATGTAAAACCAAACCATGGATTACATTGCATTAGGTAGAAATACCTTCTCAAAACACACTTCTCTGTAGGGACTTAATGGAGTATGATATGAAGAACATTTCCCTTTGTCATCTAAATACAAAACTGAGTAATAGTTCTGCCTCTAAACAGCTGTGTGAACTGGGCAAGTCACTGAAGACTCCCTCACTCTTAGGTGGTTGTGGAATGCTGGACAGAAAGTTAGCCACTCTACACTGTGAGGATGGAACACTTGATATCTGGGTAGTGCAACTGAGAAATGGAATTTTTAATTCAAATTTTAGTTTAAACAGCAATATTGTGGGGAGTGAGTAGGGAGGAAGAATGTGGAAATGTTGACCAATGGGCACTAAGTTATAGTAGATAAGATAAAGGGGTTCTGGGGTGTTATTGCTCAACAAAAATAACTTGCTGTATATTTTTAAAACCAGATAAATGGATTTTAAAAGTTTAGATATTTTCATTATAAAGAAATGATAAATATTTAAAGACAGGTATGCTTAGCTGATTTAAGCATTTCACAAGAGATAATACATCAAAACATTACATGGTGCCCTATAATATCAACAATTTTATATTCATGCATCCAGTAAAAATATATTTAAAAAGTAAAAATAAACTTAAAATAAGAATACTTTGTTAATAGTATCATATATTGCCCAATGCAGGGCAGTCCCAGTCCATTTTTCTCTTTTGTATTTCAGTTGCAAGGGAAAAATAATCCCATTCAAAGTAGAAACAATAAAGGGAATGTATCAGACCATTCTGACACAAAAGCTCAGATGTTGCAAGTTATCAGTTCTAGTTCACAGTTCTCTATTTTTTTCCAGTATTTTTACTTCTTGTATTCTTTGCAACTCTTCATTGATTTTGTAATCATAAAGACATGCTTTCATCTGATTTTTCTCAATATATTTACTTTTGAAGGAACTATTCTATTGTTTCTCTCCATAGGAATTCAAAACAAAACTATACATCAGCAAAAGATTTTCAAAAACTGCTGCATAAATGAAGAAAGAAATACTTTCACGTACTTTGCATGGGAATGTAAGTGTTCAAGTCTTTTCATTAGGAAACCTGATTATGTGTCAAATATCCGTATCCTCAACCTCAGCAACTCCACTTCTAAGTATCTAAAGGAAGTACAGGGGGAAAAAGATATTTGTGCAGTGATGATTCCCTAGCATGTCACACTGAAAAAAAAATATATATATATATAAGTCATACAAACACATATCACTTGATGCTTGAAACTTGCACAGCAGGGGTGTTTCTGTGCACTGTAAAAGTTTGTAGTTAATACGTAACTAATACAGGAAACAAATTCTATTTCGTTGCCAGGAGTATGACAAATCAGTAGGCAGCAACCCCTACCTTTGTCTGTTTACTGTATAATGCGTACCTAATCTGTAGTAAAGCATTGAAAATCTTTGGTTTTGAAACTAATAGGAATTGGGTAATCCTTAATGACTAAGAAGTCAGAATAGGAAATATAACATCCAGTCCTCCTGCTGCAGGAAGACAATTACACTCTGAAACCATCCTTCAACTATGTGTATGAGGCACCCTGTAACTCTCAAAGGATTTGTTACAATAGCCTTATTACAGTTCAACTTTCCTGCTACTGAGACCAATACTGACACCTGCTACTTAAAGTGTAGGTTTATTTTGGCTCACAGTTTCAGAGATTTCAGTCCATGGCAGCTGACTCAAAGGCAGAAACATCCTAGCAGGTGGCAGATGGAGGAAAGCTGCTCAAGTCATGTTATCTGCAAAGCAGAGAGCAGGGGAAGAGCCAAAAAGAGCTAGGACACTCTCACATTCTACATCCAGTCCAACAACCCAGTTGCTCACACAGGTATGAACTCATCAATGGGCTGACTCAGCAGTCACAGCACTTTGGATCCCAGGCTCTGGCTTCATTGCAGACAATATTTCTATGGACTAGTGTGGTAGGTTGATTCAAGTGCTTTACATTTATCGTGCACTTTATTATTATTACACTGTAAAATACAGTGAAAGTGTCATATAATTTACCATAATGCAGAGTCAGTGGGACCCCTGAGCTTGTTTTCCTGCAACTAAATGCCCTCATCTGGGCGTCATGGGCGAGAGTGACATCTTGTGTATTGCTTATGTTATGTTCAGCTACTTCATTGTCTCATTTTGGTTGCTGTCATTGGAGAAAACCCTGCTTCACAAAGAAAAGATACTGTAAATGGAAGCAGGTTTTCCATGCTTTTGTTGTCAATCTCAGGACTTTGATCCAGAACTAATGGAAACTTGAAGCTGTCTTACACCTACTTTTAAAGTCACTGTCATTTGCAGTCTTAAACAGTTGATGTTCTTCTAGCATAAACAAAATTATTTCACCTGACTTTTTCACAAATGTTCATGGATCCATTCCTTTCCAGTTAGGGATCTTTTTTCATTTTCCAAAGTTCTTTTGAGAGCTGGCATAGGTGATCATGCATGGACTGGGAGAAATACGGTTATTAAGGCATATCTCTAGATACCCCCAGAGCCTCATGTGTTCGTGAATTGGGTTTTTGGGAGTTACGTGGGTGTATGGTAATGTATTATGGGTATGTAATACTGGATTATCCCATGATTGGTTTAATGCAGTTCTGGGTGTAAATGATGAACTTACTGAAGAAGAGTGTCCCACTCTGAGTGAGTGTGGCACCAACTAATAGGTTTATAGCTGGCATGGAATAAAAAGAAAAAAAAAAAAAAGGAAGTCTCCCTACTTCTTGCCATAAACTGTTTCACCTCTGCTCCTCTCCAATGATTCCCTGCATTGGAACCAGCCAATTACAGGCTGAACCCTCTTCAAATTTTGAGTTAAAATAAATTGTTTTTTAAACTTGTGGGTGTTAGGTATTGTATCCTAGAAATTAAAAGACCCTGGCTCAGTGTCTTTCAAAATTTGTCCTAATTTTTGAAACATAAAAAATTCCAGTGTTCGCTTATCACTTATTAATGAAAGTTTGCTTTGAATACAATCACTTTATCTGCTATGTTGAACACAGTTGTTATTTTGCTCTAAAATGATAATCTGAGTTCACTGAGCAGGTTCAATATGTCACACAAATAAGCCAGTTTTATGATCTATTTTGTGTCTCTCAGTGTACTTCCAGACGTGACTATTTTTCTAAAAGAAAGTCTAGACTGACTCTCAGAATTGGTAACTGTGGCTAACAATGTATATTTAGAAAGCCATCCCACTTCTGTGTATAAGACAATACATGTGCTTTGCATCCATCTCCTGACAGAGATCTCTGAAAAGATGTAAGCTAAGGGGTTATACTTTAATGGGGTGATAATTTTATTCACAATTTACCAAACATTGTTAAATTCAGGTAACATTTTGGCTAGCCAGAATTTCTCTATCAATAAAACGAAGCACAGACTCAAATTCAGAAGTGACCTCTTTGGTCAGAGTAATGAAACCAGAAAGCCATCTAGTCGTGGAAGGACTTGTTCGATACATAGACTGACACAAAATGACCAATTAACATTTTCTGACATGTAATTGCTCAAAGGTTTGAGTAGCTCTGCAGCTGTGGTGTTGGTTGTCAACAAAAGGATATATAACATACCCTCCTGTACATAAAAATATATCACACAAAAACAAGCATTGTTGTCTCATGTCAACATCAACACTTCAATCTAGATTGAGTACAACGATGACTCATTAACACTAACAATTGTGCTTTAATGTCCTCTGTGTCATCAATTCCTCAAGCCAAATGAGAAACACATGCCACCTTTTGAACTGTAGCCTCTCCTAAAAGTAGCAACACATGTCCTTAGAAGCAGGCCAGGGCAACCCTTCACCAGTGGTCAATGGTTTCTTGGGTTTAGCTGTGCAGCTAGTGACTTGGAAAGATGTTATCAATGGAGACATATCTCATAAGGGCTGGTTTTCAATAACTGCTTTCGTTCTCTTTGTTCACTTTTTTCCTTTTAAATCTCCCAAAGCTTGTCTTTCAATGCAGAGTACTTAGTCTCCACATGGCAATGCATTTTGGAAGATTTCCTGGCCATACTGGATGGCTGGTCACCACCTATACTATACGTTTGGAGAACATTAATCACCCAGTGCAATGATTCATTATGTAGGTAAGACTCTTGGTGGGTTTTTTTCCAAATTTTTTCTTTGACAATACCAGAGTCTCTTGCTATTTCATTATTCAGCCTTCCATGAGTTCTAAAACTCTTCAGTGATTTTCTAAAATTAATTTTGGTTATGGTTAGTTATGGTTTTGCCAAAACTGTGACTGTGACCTATGTACAGTGTGGAAACAGGGAGCTGATGAAGGTGGTAAACAAAATAATGGTGATTCCATCTTTCTTCCTGTTGAGTCAACCTTTTAAGTAATAATGACCTCTTCAGTCAACATCTTAGTTCAGTTTAAACTGGACCTTACTTTCAGTAACAAGTTGATGAATAAATGCATATTTATATGAATCTTGATATATATTCAAAAAATAAGGAAAGTTACTGTATGTTGACATCAACTTCTAAAAAATAGAAAACAAAACAGTCAAAAAATAAGGATTCATTATGAGTTGAATGTATATATAAGTATATATGCTTAAATAAATGAAAATGTTTTAGAACTATACACTTAAAGGTGTTAACAATCATATTTTTTCTGAAGAACAGTAGAAATAAGGGAAACAGTAAGAGGGCATTGTTTTGTTTTATTCTAATTCAATTTTAACAAGGAGAATATAGTCATATTATTACTTTTTAAAACTAATTAAAAACTCTTCTGGAAGAATAAACATGTAGGGGCTGGGGATTTAGCTCAGCGGCATAAGCACCGGCCTTGCAAGCAGGCGGTCGTGAGTTCGATCCCTGGTACCGATAAAAATGAAAAAGACAAAAAAACAAAAAAAAAGAATAAACATGTAAAAATATCCTGACAAATTCTGAAAATAAATATCAATGCAGCAGACAGGAATTTTCCTATTAGACACTAAAGTAATATATTTGACAAAGATGAAATAAATGGACCAATGTGTTCATAAACTTCAAGTATACATGTCAATTTAGTAAATCAATAAAGGTTTAGTTTCATTTTAGTAACACTTTAATAAACACTATACAAAGGCAAAATTACTTTGAGACAAAATTGACCACTACCTCTCCCATAGACTAATATAAATTTTAGATTTATGAAATATTTAATAATAAAACCATAAAATAAGTAGAAGGAAATACACTTCATTACTTTAATTATTTGGGTTGTGGAATCATTTCTCAGCATGAAATTCAAGCCAAAAACCAAAACAACACTAAAAGTTACATGGTGTGACTACATAAAAATTAAAATGTTCTGGATGGAAAATAAGTGATTGCCATATGTACGTTTTAAGACAGAAAACAAACTCATTAAACATATTTACAACATGAATAATAAAGAATTAATCCAAAATATAAAGAATTCTTATAAATTATTGGGCAAAATAATGGGCTAAAAGGCAGCAAATGGTATGTGTCTGCGTTAAGCTCTCTCCAATTATCTTTCAAACTTCAAGATTTTGAAATCAGTAATCGCAGACCTCTTGACACACAAACTATGAATGATGTTGCCAAAAATTCAACCTACAAGTGTGAGTAAAGTTAAATTCTACTAAACTTTCAAGAGGAAGTTTAACCGTTGAAGTCTTTTGCTTAACACACAAGCATTTATCATTGTTCTTTATACAAAGTCACATTGAAAACAGAAGTTTTCCAAGAGAAAATAAAAGTCAAACCTGGCACTAACTTAAAGAAGCATTGCCAAATCCTATTTTCATATTTCCTCTTGTCACTCTGTATGTTTCATATTGGAAAACTGATAGCAAACATCTTCTCTTTAACGATGTCTTCTTGAGTTTGGCTAACAGAGATGTTGCTCTGGGGTCCTGGAGATTGACACAAAAATTCACTTTACACATTCCCATTGGGAGAGAGAGAAGGAACAAATTTACATCTGTTGAACACATTCATTTCTTTTCTGTTGCAAGACAGCTAATGAAATATGTTTTTGATAGTTTGGTTTTAATGAATTTGGTCAAATGTTTTTAGCAAGTCACAATGTAAATAAATTGTAGAATGCAAACCCCTATTTTGAGGTGTTTGCTTGGGAAGTAGATAGTAGTTACCACTCACTGTTTATTTTATTGAGAAATATATTAATTAGTACATGAGGCAAGCATTGGCAGAAAATAGAATTATGATTCAAAAAATATTGATTTCAGAGCACATGACAAGCACTGTTCCAAGGAGTGAGGAAACAGTGCAACACAAAGCAACTATCGGCAGTTTTTGAGCATTACCATTGTGGGGAGACACTGACTGTAAAGAAGGAGATGAGCAAAGAGAATGTAGGCTATGAGTGCTACAGAATTGCACTGATGCCCTGGAGAAATATATCATTTCAGTCTGTGGCATGTATTGTACTAGTTTATTTTTCATTATAATATGCAAATACCGTATTTGTAAGACCATGAGATGTCATGGCCAGGCCTTTTATATAACTCTCAATTACTGCTCACAAAGGTCCAATGAAGAATTGGATCCATTTTCCAAATAAAAATGTAAGGCAGAGGAGACAGTCAACTTAGAATTCAACATAATACAGAGGGGAGCCCCAAACAGAGGGAGATGAATTCTCTCGTCCCAAGAAGAAATTAAGGTGACTTTATGACCATCAGAGGTCCCTCCATGACTGGCCAATTCCGTGACTTGCTGGAGTCCTGCAGCGCCTTGCCAGGGTCCCATCATGCCTTGCCGGGGTCCCACTGTGACTGGCTGGGGTCCCGCCATGACTTGCTGAGCCATCTGAGGTCCTGCCGCTTTGACTTACTGGTGACGCAGTTACATTGAGTTCGAGGGTCAGCGAGCCAAATGGAGAGCTGAGTTGGCAGGGAACTTACATCGAACTGTGTTGAATGATGGGAGTGGAGCCATTCCATAAATAGGGGGGCTCTGGCGGACGACATTCTGGGACTGGACAGGACTGGCAAGTATAAGGGGCAGAGACTTCAGTCAATTGTTTCCTTCCAGAACAGGATTGGTGGAGTGAGCTAGGCCTGGGTCACGTGACCCAGCTGAGACCAAATAGGCTATCTGAAGTCAAGTCCCTGCAGTGGTGGTGCACACTAACCACACAGGCCCAGTGGGGCCTCGGAGGTTTGGCTGGCCCAGAGGGGAGAAAGAGCAAACTAATACAGTAGTGCAGGCCACAGCAGTTTGACTAATCTGGAGGGAAGAAGCCAGCATACGCTGTCCCTGTCTGCAACTCACTAGCACACTGCAGTGTGAAGGATCATCTAGCCAGCGCACTTCAGAAGAATTGTAACCAACAAAGAAAGAAACTGGGGCCTCTTGGAAGAAGCAAAAAGGATGGGAAGAGGAAGCAAGAACAAAAGGTTCTCAGGCCCCAAACTGAGAACATTGACCCAGGACAGTAAATACAAAGGAGATTGAGAACAGCAAACATGCAATATCAGTGGACATAAAGAGATATATTCGGGACCTCATAGATGAGTTCAAAAGTGAAATACTTAGCCAAATAAAGCAAGATATAAAAGATTAATAAAAGAGATACTAAGCAACTCTCAAGCAAACACGAAAGAAGGGAGGAACTCAAATACAATAAAGAACCATTTGTTAAGAATATAAAAAAATATAGACTACATAAAACAGATTAAAAGAGATCACCCGGAAATTAAAAACTCTATGGAAAGATGGCAAATCAGCTTGAAAGAAACTAAGGACAGATTATCCAAACTGGAGGACAATTTTGCAATGTGGGAGTATGAAAGGGAAAACTTTTAAAAAATAACAAGGAAAGAAGCAGTAACAATACAAAGGCTAGAAGATGACAAAAGGATCTATAACTTGAGAATAAGAAATGTGAATGAAGAAGCTGGGATACAAACAAAGGAACTATAAAGGTTATTCATAGAAATAATTAAGGAAAACTTCCCAAACATAGGAAAAGGAAATGACATTCTGATATATGAAGCCTACAGAAATCCAGCTGCCTACAACCAAAACAGAGCTACACGCAGGCATATAATAATCAAGATCTCAGAAATTCAATATAAAAACAGATTATTAAAAGCTGTTAGAGACAATAAACAGATAACCTACAGAGGAAGGCCCATCAGAATAACAGCAGACTTCTCCACTTAAACCATCAAGTCAAGAAGTGCCTGGAGCAAAATATTCCAAGCCCTGAAAGAAAATAACCTCCATCCCAGATTGATATATCCTGCTAAACTGTCTCTTGAAATTAATGGAGAAACAAGATGCTTCCAAGACAAAGAGGAACTTGGGAAATTTGCAACCACCAATCCAATTCTACAGAGAATACTGCAGGACATTCTAGAGAGAGAGAGAAAAGTACTAGGATTCCAGGAACAGTGGCAAAGAGGCCTCAATGAATGGAGCAGAAAACAGAATGAAGAAGATAAGCAGACTGATGACAAAAAAAGTGCATAACAGAAAGGAGGGAGAGAAGAATGTATTCAAAACTCATATGATTGATAGTATCAAGTCTGAGAGTATAGGCAACTACACTGTAGATGACAAGACTCAACAATATGCATTCTGGTTTGTTAACTGCCTATTTTTGAAGTTCTATACTATACACAAAGTTGTGCTTTTATTAATACTGTTATGTACTGACATACTCAATTATACTATGTCTGATGACATAGCCAATTCTATTGGAGATAACACGAGACCACACAGGAACTATGGTAGAACGATTTGTACAACTGTCTTATATGTTTATTTCATTTCATGTATTTGTAGGAAAATGTTTTGTTTTTCCTTGCTTTGTTTTGTTTCTCCCTCTAATATAGAAAGGATAGAAATACATGTTAAGACTTATGCTTGTGTAGAATCTATAAACAAAAATATGAGAACTGATCATATGACACATGATGAAATGAACAAATACTGTGAAGAAAAAAAGACACTAAAATACCCAGTGCTGATCCTTTAGTGTCATAATGTGAAACCCAGCAATAGTATTATTCTTTGTTCAGAATGATTTTAACCTGCTTTAGTTTGTTTAATCCAAACATAAATGAAGATATGGATAACTGCACGTATGTTTAAGTCTTTAGGATTGATAACCATATTTGTAAGTTTTGTTGGATAGCTGAACAGAACTGGTTGCAGTCTCACTGTTTGAATCCCCACTTTATAAGCTCCACTTCAGAATCTTGAATAACTATTTGTAAGAAGACAATCTGTAATCATCAACTAGTGATTTCTTACAGTTTATTTTTTTCTTTGAAAGTATGTATTATTTCTACATTATTATT